CTTTGACTTGTCTGTCTCCTCTCCACCTATATTCTCCTTTATCCATTTTCTATCCGCCTCCCCCTCTCTCCCTCTTTATTTCAGAATCCCCTTCCCCATTTCTGAAAAAGCATCTAGACCCGAAACGTCAGCTTTCCTGCTCCTTTGATGCTGCTTGGCCTGCTGTGTTCATCCAGCTTTACACCTTGTTATCTCTAATACACAGGGTTACCTGGTGAAGGCAGGAAACTGGCACTAAGTAAAATGCTAATTCAGAGAGCCAGTGCAGACATGAGCTGAATGGCCTCCTTCTACACTTCATATGTTTTTGATAGCACTTTTTTTTTAAAAATATGGCTTTAACTTATCCATACACCTTGAAAGATTTTGGGTGCACTCCCTCAGGTCTGTGTTTCAAACTGTATTTAATGTTTTTATCTGATCATTCTTCTCATCATGATGTTCCATTCACATTTGTATTAAATTGTGTTCACTTTTGCCATTTATCTGCCTATTATGCCGTCCTATGTCCTCCAAAAGTCTATTAGGATCTTCATGATTTACTACATTCACGTTTTATGTCATCTGCAAATTTTGAAGTTGTTTTTTAGACTGGAAGGAAAAACGGTTGCCCACCACTAATTTCTGCTGACTATAATTTCACAAACATTCACTGTCATCAATATCTTAATTTGATGGGCTTCTGAATGTTTGATCTTCTGCACCAGGTCTTTACAGCCTTCTTTTGCTGACCTCTGGGCATTTATAAATTCTAGAACCTTTAATTTCTTTAGTTAAGGAATTGAAATACTTAAAACTTATGCAGTTCTCTTTGTTGTGCAACACTTTATTTTGGGAAGTCAGAGAAGACCATAAGACATAGGAGCAGAAATTAGGCCATTCGGCCCATCGAGGCTGCTCCACCATTCATATCATGGCTGATAAGTTCCTCAACCACATTCTCCCACTTTCCCCCCGTAACCCTTGATAATCAAGGGCCTATGTATCTCAGTCTTAAACGTACTCAATGACCTGGCCTCCACAGCCTTCTGTGGCAGTGAATTCCATAGATTCACCACTCTCTGGCTGAAGAAGTTTCTCCTTATCTC